TTTTCTCTCTTTGCTAGATTGTGTTTTGGCAGCAAGCTCTAATGAATTTGTCAAAGTCACTGATATAAAACCAGAGCTTATTGTCTTTAAAGGAATAGTATCATCTTGTCAAAGTCAAAGTCAGCTTTATTGTCAAAATTACTACATGTGTTATACATCCAGAAATCTCGAGATATCATTTTCCCGCAGGGATTCAAATTAGATATCACTCTCATATTTGTCCTTCAAGTATGAAGCTAGAGCAAGAATATAAGCATAGCATTAAGATTAGAAACAGAGGGAAAAGGCTAGCATTGCTCTGCCCAAATATGGTAGAGAATCTGCCCATTATCACCTCTTAAAGATCACTTATTGATACATCTTTGATATACATAATGAACGGATACAAGGGGCTTTCCTTAATTATTCCTTTAAATGTGTAGGCCCTTCAAGTCTTAGTATCCACACAAGATAACCTGTCTTCCAAGGGAAGGAGAGTTGCAGTGAATGGGCAAACCCATCAGAGGCCTGTACTACGAAGCCGGTTCAACATGGATATGTTTGAGTTAGCCGGTTGGCCTAATCCAAAACATATGCGCTCTCGCTAAGCGGTCCTACGACGCACGTTATCAAGTGGATCGCTCAAGCCCTATCTAGTTAGGTTCGCGTTCACATGAAAGGGGTGGTATTTGGAGCATTCGACCAATAACAAAAATGGACAAGCGTACTGACAGCGCAGCGCGTCATACTTCCTTTACTATAATATTAGACAAATATGAAGACGTTAAACTTTAAACATCCATGACTTAAACACTTTATCCAGGATAAAAGCCACATACAGTAGTTGCACCTGCAAGGTGAATACAGCTGGAAAAAGAAAAAGTATTTGAATGCGTACATTAACAGGTTTATGATATCACTGCCCCGTCTAAGACACGAGTGGATCTGACTTTAATTACATTTGACTCGAGTGTTTCGTCAACTTAATGTGTTGCTTAAAGTGGACCTATCATGCTATATTTGAAACATATATTGTAAGGCCAAACCTATACAAAACATGTCTGTGAAGTTTTTTTTTCAAAATACCAAACAGATCATGCATTTTAGCCATGCCTCATTTCGCTCTATTTGCTCTTTTCCAGCCCTGTTTTTGCAAGGGCTGATTCTGCTTTTGTGGCAGACTACAGCGCCACTTACAGGCCTGGCATATGTACTACAGCGTCTCCAGCGCGTTTGAGCGGTCGCTCATTCCCCTGATAGGTGGAGAGTTGCCCATATAGGCGGAGCACCCCTTTTCTGACGTCAGAAAAATTCAAATAATAATCAGCTCCGTTGCAGCCCCGTTTTTAGAGATTTGGGTATGGAGGAAAAGAGAGGGTTGTGTTTTCTGACACTTGGTGAGTTCCCTGACACACCGGGGACACATATTCATGTATAAAAGACGTACAGAAGTGCATTTTGCATGATAGGTCCCCTTTAAAATAATACTTCTGCATACAGTATGTGACACTGTGAGTGTTGCACGGCCAGATACGGCTCAAGAAGCTGACTCAGATAAGGAAATATATGATACATTATGATGTGATATGCCGCGGACTGTACGTAATGTTACTCTGATCCGGTTACTTATGTTGTGGCAGATATTTAAGTAAGCTTTCTTAACGCTAATGTTATAATAGTCAGATTGCTCTGAAGATGGGAGGTGATATTCTATTCATTTTCACGTTCACACAGTCGGTGATTTTTGCCGGCCGTCTTTCCTGCAACGGCAGTCTTTCTGTATTTCCTTTCTGCTGTAATATAACATGATCGCTTTAAACTCTGCACACTGAGCTCTGATTGGTCAGCAGGCGGTGCTTTCACTGAGTTGATCTCTTAGCCTGCAACCTAACCTGCTCCGGACCAGGTTAGCCGCTCAGCAGTTACCATGGAGATCTAGCCCGCTAAAAAGATAACCTGCGTCGTAGGACCGGAAACCCAGAGTTTTCCCTGAAGTTAGCCTGCTAAGCGAAAATCCGGCTTCGTAGTACAGGCCTCAGGGAGAGATGGCTGGATCTGCTTGTCCTGGAGCAAGCAATTGAGCAAAAGAGTCTGAGGCTGCAAGAGGTACCAACTGATACTGCTTTATCGCTGATTTCGCAAAAGCACTGAAGTCAACATTTTCCATATTGTTCTGATCCAATGTATGGAAATAAATGAGGTAGAAAATAAGTGATTTATCAGTGTTGAAAGTTGAAAGTTATTTAATGAAACTCTAATGAATCTGAATTACTTCTCGTCTATTACCTCTCTTGTTGGACTAGATTGTAAGAGATGTTTTTCTGACGAAAGCAGATCTCAAGACTTAAAGTTCTCTGAAGCACAGCACCAGAAGAAATATAATTTGACTTGGTATGACCACCAAATACAATGAACAAACCATTGGGGGGTTGTGAGCTACGACTACATCCTATACTGTAGATTACTTCTCTCAATGCAATTGTTTTTATAGTCCTTTGCAGTAGGACCCTAATCTAGAGTTAGAGAGAGATATGCATGGGGGATTGTTGCATTATTCCACACTGAGAAGGATGCCTTCTTTCCAAAAACCTATATGAGAATCACTTAGTTGTAATATCCTTTTGATGATCTACAGAAATATATCAAATTGCATGTAATATAATGCTTGGTGTGTATGTTAGACATCTGTTTGTCTGGTTCTGGTTAATCTTAACACTTTGAATTTAAACCTCACCAATGTGGATGTTTTTAAACATTGGACCATGAATACACTTTAGGAGTATTTTGCTTTGCAATACCCTTTTTTCTTTTAACCATGGATCGAAGGCAGCTAAAGTTGAAGCGTGTGGATGCTTGCAGGTGCTTGGATGTACAGATGTGGATCGGACGTTTGGTAAAAGATTACATAAGCAGTCTCTGCTCTGTGACATCAAAGGCTCGGCCTGTCAGCAGAGATGGCGTAGTATATCAAATAATACCATCATCTACTTCTGTGACAGATTCATGCATTCAACTGGATCGAGATTCAAACTCATTCCCTTGGAGCTTGGACCTAATCAAATGCTTTCTTTGATGGATATTCTATTTATCATGAGGGTTCAACAGCTGAACCCTTCAAAGTGAAGGAGAAAAAGCGCTGTTTCTATTACTGTATTGCTAATGAAAGCATAACCTTGGACTGCCATTTAAGGAACGGTTGGGCAGATTGGGTCTCCCGACTGTAGAGACCAAACGTAGGACATTTTTGCTGATTTGAGATTAACGGGACAATACTTTATGTGATGCGCTTAATATCTCTAATTGACTGTTTATGTGATTAACAATACTTTGTGTGAGGCGCTTAATATCTCTAATTGAATGTTTATGTGATTAACAAAAAGGTTGTGATATTTTTTTTATAGGGACACAATCTGGAGCAGACTGAGACAGGATAATGTGCCCTGATGATCCAAGGGAAAAGTCTGACTGAATCTTTTAATCAAGAACAAGCGCTTCTGCAATTTTGTTCAGCAATCTATCCACATGATCAATAATGATAATAATGTCCATGTCCATAGTGAGAATGTTGGATGGTTTCATCTGAAATCATGTTCAGGGTTATTAGGAACAGACTTGCAATTATGTTTTATACTATGCAAATCTGTCAAGATAATACCAGGAATTCATTGTCAGTAGATCATACCTACCAACGGTTTTCATTCACACCTTTCTAGTGTTAGATAAAGGGTGTCACAACTGGGATTTAGCTAATGGGAGTCTAAGCTCTTACAGTCGTTTATGCTAGTATAATTGCATCCTGTGTCTATTCACAACCTGTGACAGATTGAATACAACGTCTTGAATCTGTCTTTCTCATTATTTCCCGATAAAAACACAATTTCCCCCCTTCATATAACAGTGTGATCAGAAAGATCATTACCGGACTCCAATGGGATTTTAAATGTCGGCTCCACACTGAAATATGTATTAGAAGCTGCAGATTCAACATATAACAAACCTCGCTAGTCCACTGCAAGATATAATATCGACACAACACTAATCATTGTTTTCTCATTGCCCCTTACCGGGTCAACTCTGTGGTGTGGTTACAAAGATTTCGAAACTTTTAAAAAGGAGATATGCACGTTATACTGTTTTGAAAACATGGGATCTTCAGCCTCCAGAATATGTTAAACTAACTGTATATTGTCCACACTGTCTTATAAGAAGTATTTTGGTATAACGGTGGCTGTAGTAAGGCACTCGCACTATCAAGCCATATATTGTTATATTCAGCCTGGCTTTATAGCATGAAACTTCAGTCATGCATAAATATTGATCCATTTCCTTTGTTTTTCCTATACTATTTCAATATTTTAGGAGATGTGTGTTATTTGTAACATGGCTTTATGGAAATAAACATGTTCTGTTTTAAAACTGCCATTTAACGGTCAACATGGAAACGGTAAACTTGGCCAAAACACATATTCATAAATTGTATCAAAAACGGTTTTCATCTCATTTACATTTACAGTTGTAGTAAAAAGTAGAAGCCATTCAGTTATATCATCATCCATCAAATAGTTGTTATGGGGATATTGAAGTGAGTATACAAATCTATTTTTTCCATCATTGTATCTCCATTCACTCTGGAATCGTAATAGCAATAGGCTTACTAACAATTCATGCAGAAAAGCCTTACGTTTGACGGCCATTCCTGATCAGTTTTTGGTTTGTTATTGTTTTAAGTGTTCATTAATGTGCATTGTCAAATAAACGATTAAATTGTAAAAAATTTGAGGCATTTTTTTCCTAGGCCATGCCTTAAGAGATTAAGTCAAACAAATAAAACAAGAGACCAATCAGTTGTAATTTAATTTTTTAAAGGTTAACACATACATGCACAAATGATGTGCATATTGTACTGCCCACACAATATCTTGTGCTTTACATATTACATACTGACAAAAGTCACCCCACACACAGCTATACATGTAATTGCCACAGGCTCAGAGAAGAAAAATAAATCTGTGGGGACTCACTGCAGAAGAGAAAGTAGGAGGCGGACCCAGCCAGCAGGTTGGGACTGCAGGCCAACGAACTGACGAGGCCAACGATCCAGCCGAACACCAGCAGCACCAGGCTGAGGGGCAACATGATGACCACCACCTTGTGCAAGCCTGCAAACACACATTCATGTACAACACATAACCTTTTATTGTGCCTTTAAGACTGTACTGTGTCTTTGTTGTAAAAGTGCCTTAACGCCAGGTCTACTAGATATACTGCTGAGTGCATGCAATCAATTTCACTACATTTTCAGATTATTTTCTACCTTTTGGGGAGCAATTTGGAGTTGAGTATGAAAATCAACAAAAATAGTCTTGAGACTTGCTTATAGCTTCTGTCACTGTGGACAATTTCTTTCTCTATTTGATTTTCAAAGTTGCAAACAGGGACTTCCAAATGCTTCATCCTTTGTAAAAGAATATTTATGTTTGCTGAAGGTATTTCTTGTTGATTGGATTTTCCGACAGCATATTGCTGCTTGAAAATGTCATTTCTTCAGCAGCCCCCTATAAATAACTTTTGTCAGGAAAAACTCATTATATACTGCCATTTTACAAACAAAACCACTCACCAAGAAGGTGCTTTTCCACTTCTGACAGACTGGACATGTTTGCTGTGAAGGAAGGGATGACGGAGCTCATGTTCGCCCCTGAAAAAGTCAAGGGAAAAGGTTACACATAACAAGACATGTGGACAAAAAGGTCTGGCAAGAACTGCTACCAAACAGCTTTATCCAAGAATTGTATAATGATCAACATATTTAAAAATTCAAAACATTAGATTTTTTAATAAAAATAACCATTAAAGATGTCTCTGTATGACACATATTTACCCACCCCCTGCATATGTGACAGTTTGGCATGTCTTCGCAGTTTCTGCTTTTGTGAGCTAATCCAGTGCATACCATAACAACAATTATGTCAGTGCTTGTTCCAGGGTTATTTCACTGGTTTAATTACTTGGCATTTAGTGTGTGAACTACGGGTGGCACCAGCAACACATTGGACACATCTGGGACCTCAAACAGTGCAGCCAACAAGCAGATTATATTGAAGCTGTGTCAAACTAATTACCGTAAAATATATTGGAAGTTTCCTGCACGTTCGTCTGCAGCTGTCTGTAGGGGCGTCTACAGATTTGAGCTGGGTCGCTTGAATAAACATTCTATGAAGTTGATTAGAGCCACTTATTGAGGAGGGTCACACTGTGATTTTCTCTGTTTTTCACTCATTTTGGGATTGTTCGTTGAATCTGATTGAATACATCTCACAGTCATTTTTCTAAAAGACAGAAATGAACGAATATATTCTGAAATGCATTAGTACACTCATGTTTGTGTGTGTCTGTGTATGTATGTAAGAAATCAAGGATAATTATGCTGTGAACTGATGCTGACAATTGACATGGTAACCCAGCAACATGAGAAAGACACCTATCCATGAACAATGTGGCATCACATGTAATCCACAGTATATTATTGATTTCAATTCTTTTTTTGTCAACAGCAAAGACACTGACAGTGACATCAACTGTGAGAACAAGCGGTTTACGCACAGCAGTGTCAATGCCACATAATAAAGGTATCTCAAAAGGACCTCAGGTGAGAAGCACCGCAAAAGTTATTCTGGAAAAATTATGGCACTATCAGATTTTACAGCTCACACATTAACCTGCTTGAGTATAAGGATATACACAGTCTAACCTAAAAGCTCTTAAAAACTGTAAACTACACGCTTAAGGAGTTGACATACCTTCATTAATTCTCCACAGTCCAGAATGGGAACTCATGTCGTCTGGACCTGAGCAGTTGGGTTTATTCACATCGATAATGTACCAGTAATCAGTCCCAATAGCCACAGCGAGGAGGCTAAAGCTTAGAAAAGCTGTAAATCCAGCAGCGAGAACCACCAATCCGTACCTCATTGTGTACAAACCACACGCCGAGCGCAGTTTCTCTTATACAGTGTCCAATTTTTATATTCGTCTACACTGCATTCCTTCTCGATGCTCCAAGATGTGCGATGCGTAAAACCTCTCCCGGTGTAACCTTCCCTGTAAAATGTTGGTTTTCCATGGCAATCACACTCGTAATACGTAGTTCCAGATGTAAACACAGCAAAACAGAGTTCATTAATAAAAAACTTAAAAGAAAAACTAAAATGATGAGAAGAGAGATGCGTCTCTCCCCGCACGCACACAGACTGTAGTGCCTTGCAGCGCCCTTGGATTGATCCACAGTCAATTCAGAAGAAAAAAACCGTCACTTTCGGTGCTGAATTCCAAAATAAAACACCGATCACTGACCATTAAAGGTGGGGTAGGTAATTCACTTCAGAAACACTTTTTATTATATCCCATGGAATGCTTTTAACATCCCGATAGCAATGAATACATTAAATGCTTTGACAATAAATACATACAAATATTTCATCTGTGGAAGCCGTGGCGCTGTAAAAAGCGCGACCAATCATCTGAGCCGGCCCGGCTAAAATAACGAATGGCCTGTCAGCCTCCCATCTGTGCACAAACTTATCTCGTGCCCTCATTGGTCATGGGCGCGTTCGTGTGTGTTGGAGGAGGGGCTCTCTAAGGAAGTCTGAAGCAAGGGGCAGATTTGTTTCGGTTGTGTACTTTCAAATTCTTGCTCACTCTTCTTACCTACCCTACCTTTAAGTAGGTGAAAGGAATGCATTTTATAATGCAAACTACATCCGCCCACAGTTAATGTCTAATTATTTGGTATTAGAGGAAATAGAGGCATGTTGCAGTGACAACAAACCATACACTGTGGAGAGTCCAACCTTTCACTACCCATACAACACAGTAAGCTCAATGAAACAGCAGCCACCGATGAGGTAAAAACCGAGGCAAACAAATAAGTTTAAGCACATTTCCGTATGTACTATCACTCAATAAACAAACACAACAGTACGGACACACTGGAAACTATTAAGAATTTCGGTTGGCATTATGTCATTCAACAGTCATTTAAAATACTTACCTTTTGTACTTTATGAACACTTATTTACCGTAGACGTCATACCGAAAATGTCCGGTAGGAGAAGCAGCCATTGGCAGCTTGGATAGTTGACGTTACGCACACCTGAGTCCAAATGAAAAAGAAAATACAACATGAGCATATTGCTGTGTTGGAAGCTATCCAAAAGCGACGGGACGTTAGCCAAGCAAATGTTTAAAAGTCCCGAATAGATCCGGTATTGTTATATGAGGAACGAACCCGTAAAACTGTGGAGAGTTTGTGAGACACGCACTGATGGAACTGCCGAACTAGCTAATTTAGCACCAGTCTTTCAGGTAAGTGTTTAACATAAAACCTCCAGGAGATGTTGTTCTTTTTCTCAATGAACCAAGTAATAACAAATAATCTTAATATCAAAATGCAAACGCACTGATAGTAGCCTACAGCTGAGTTCAAAACATTTAGCATTCAGCATTCACACATATTCATGTATAAAAGATGTACACAAGTGCATTTTGCATGATAGGTCACCTTTAATATATACCGTAGGGCACCGTGTGGATAGGTCCATCTGCCTAGCACATTTTAAACTATCCATTGCACCCACAGTATTTTTGGTAAAACTGCCCATGCTCTGTCAAGTTGAATGGGGACCTTCTGTGAAAAGTAATTTTCAACTACAACAAGGGAACACATTCTCATTAGGACTGGACTCTGACTTAGGCTACTTATTTTGAAGCCTTTCCTGTGTAGCTTTATGGCTTAAAGTGTTATGGTGTCCTCTCTCTGTATAATAAATCTTGCCCTGTTCTCTTGCAGACTGCTTCAGGGTTTCCTCTTCCTCTCCACTAGAAAATGATGTATTGACAATGTTTTCAATAGCAGTAATATATTGATCGTATTTGATTTAAAACTGTGATGTAAAAGGCAGACCAAAGAAGAGTAGATTTAAACAGCTAACCCTTTTAATTGATCATGTTCAGTGAGGTCTTGCACTTTGATGTGTAATTATTCTACTACAGCTGGAGAGGTGTAATAGGAACAAGCTGCAATGTCTGCAGATTGTCTTGGAAATGGCCATAACCTTTATCACTTCCTAATCCAAGTAGTGTCATTGTGTTGGTTAATTATTTTAACCCTAGTATAAAGTCATCCCTGAACATATGGTAATTTAAGTGAGCTTTATGTAATGTCATTCAATTTGATAGGGATGGGAATCACATCTTTGTTTTGACTAATTTCCTGCCAATCCCACTTACTTTACCCATGGCCATGACCGCACAAGAAAAAGCTCAGCACCATTTAGTGAATCAAAAAATAAATTGTTACCAAAAACTTGAAATTTGGATTTGCAATATGAATAGTTTATATAATAAAATATCTATACTTGGCGTCCGTGTATCGATACAATATCGCCACGTAAAGTATCGCAATGCTATGCTGTATTGATTATTTCCACCACCCTTACAATTTGAAAAGCTTCTGTGTGCAACCGGAGGAAATATTTGAAATGTAGTTATCCCTGCTGTGTTTAAAGTATTAGCACTGATGCAATTGGAAGTGGATGTGCAGCTAGTTTAAAGCAACCCTCTAGCATACATGCCCATAAAGTAAATCTACACATTATCGTTTGACACAATTCGCTGCCCAGTCCTCTTAAATTCTTAATGTTGTGTACTACGCATCATAAATAAAGTATGACTTTCCAATGTCTTTTCCAAAACCTGCTGTAGGCGGAAACAGTTTACAAATGTGAACACACTTGTAAAGCTTGGCCAGCCATCCCAGATGTGCTCAGTGGATAGAGATGGGATATAATCTTACTTTTGTCCATACAGAATAATATAATAATAAAAAATAATACAATACAAAATATTTATTTAATGTATTTCCCTAAACATCAAGGAAAGGGAAAGATGGAACTGTCAGTCATTGGATAGGAAATGGAAGTGTTTTTCTGGACCAATGCACTTCTATAATTTAATACAACTTTTGTGAGCAGGCTATTCATAGTTGAATTGCCTTTCAGATTCCACAAATGCATCTGCTTTGACATTTATTAAAAAGAAAAGGGCACATTGCTTTACTCAATCAGGGCATTGAAATATAATTAATGTAAGACCTTGGTTTAGTTCAGAGCACGCAGACAAACACATGTGAGAGACAACTAATCATGTCATTATGCAGAATATATCTTTGGGAGAATCCATAATGATAATGAGTCTTGACAGAGTATTGCTGACAGTTGTGTTACAGAATGGATCTTTGAAATTATAAGTAAGGGAATGCTTAATCTAAAGTAAAAAACTGCATGACAAAACAAAACCTCCTTTATTTTCCGTAATGACATGAATTGAATTCAAACATCATATCCTAATTATAATTAACCACCAGAAATGGATTTCTCAGAAACACAATTGAATTGTACCTTCTTTTTTTTATGCAAAGGGAAGTACACAAAACATACAGTATTACATAATGTGCCATGTAATACTGTACAAAATGAAACAGAACAAAGAAAATAAATGAAAAAATAAACATAAATAAAGGGAGTCTGAACAAATAATGATTATAAACACATAATATAAAAAGCATAGAGGTACATTCTTATATCTGGCTCACGTAAATGTGATAACTGTGGAATATTGTTTTATTAAGTTGGTTGCAAAAAAGACAGACTGCACACTTTGAATTGAAAACTAGTTATCCTATAAAAAATACAAGTCCAGTTATACTGTATTAGAGAAACTATCGGAGCGTGGCTACACAACAGATTATGTCTTGTGAAGATGTGTCATAAACATTTAAATTACACTGTTTTACAAACGTACAATTTTAATTTCCAATGAAAATACCTATTAGAGAACCATTACAAAGATGTACCATAGGCTTGTATGTCCACTGCTGCTGTAAACCAAAACATTCTTTCATCAGCATACTTCAAATTCCATTTTGGGTGAGAATCAGCAAAGATGTACTATGATGTGTTGAGTTGCGGAGGCACAAATATGCCGTCTTTTGAAACCCAAATGAGTATTTTCACCTATATAACTGACCTCTGTGTTTGTTATGTTGCAGGCTGAAAAACTTCCGCCATTTTAAAAAAAATGTGATGATAGTTCACCGCTTCTGCCGGATTATGATTATTGTTTGGAAGATGAACAAGAAATGTCACAGCAGCCAGTTAGATTTGTATTTCATGTTATTGACATTATTGCACCACCTTTCTACAATTAAAGTCATTCATCAGCACACACTGTATAGGGGTCATACACATTTAACAAATGCACATTTGCAGTGTGTTTGAACAGAGGTGGACATGTTTTTGCTTGTGGGATTAATTTATTATTGTTGTCCTCATTCATGTGTTTTTGCAGGTGTATTAAAGAGTGAAAGAAAAGGGATTGACATTAAAGTCGACTGGATGGCAGACTGAAGATGCAAGAGCTGCAGGAGGAACCAACAGAGTGCCGAAAGGTAGGAAAAGTTCAAAGTGAACCGCTACTTTTTTCTGATTATAGACCCAGTTCTTTCTCCAGGAAACCAATTTTACGTTTGTTTTTTTCATTGTTGGCAGAACTGACTCTGGGTTGCCACGTTTGTCTGAGTCCACCAGTCTCAAGGGGTGAGGTTGTTGTCGTTTAAATCTTTCACAGTTGCTCACTGTTCCCAGATAATCAGCCCTGTTCTTATCTGGTCAGTGCTTAACGACATTGCAGTTTATTTTAAAGGTCTGTGATCTCCATTTTTTGATATCCTCCTCCTTTGGTTGGTCCTCTTGTGTGAGGTCTGAGCTCTGTCGATTAGCTGAGTCTCATGTACAGCTTTGAAAGGGTTGGAGCTGGGCTCATTGGCTTTAAGGTGTTTGTAGAATTTGTATTGCTGTTTTTTGGATTCTAATTAAAAGTGGCAATTGGTTTATTTCAGCCCAACATTGAATGTGTGCTGTATTTTTGTGGACACTTTAGTTTTAGATTTCTCTTGGGTGTTAAACCTAATTTAACTAGCATTGCATTGTCAGTGTCCCTACACATCGCTACCCATTTTTTAGTTATTGATTTGAATATTCATACCAAGGTTCAGGTTGGAATCAAAAGATGCAGTTATTGACATCTGAAGGGAAAGTTTGGTTTAAAACTAGTCAGACTTGATTAAATGATGTTGAATGTTGTGCAGTTGGATGATAAGAATGCTTCAGAATAATATGTCCTGGTGATTATTGCACCAATCGTATGCCTCACACTACTTATTTGGGTTATCTTTGTATGACAACAATATCTTTACAATATATTTCCATTCTAGCATTGAGTACTCAAAGGTAAACCGGTGGCACATGAATGTATTTAGGACAAAGTAGACTAATCTCCATTTCCCCAATATATTCTGGCCTTATCAAACAAATAGGCTAACTATTCAACATGGTGGCCTCATTACAGCATGAACAGTCTGAAAGACAACTTTAATTTGTCTCAGTGACTGCAAATCCATACTATTGTTATGAAATTCCTTTTTGAAAAACCTCTTTCTTTCAATGGCTTCCATGTCATATGGCCAGCAACTCAAAATCAATGCAGCATTGTATTACAACGTATTGTTGAATTGCTAATGTGTGCTCTTTAAAATGTTTCAATATCTTCCATGTAATTTGACCCATGGACCTCCATTGCATACCAGATAATATAACTATATAGTGAACATGAAACAAACCTCTTTCTATTGAATTTTAATCCACCGTCTATTTTGTACAATTATATTTTAAGGAAATTCACTTTTTTATTGAAAAGTCAATTTCTTTTAACAGTTGCCAATTTCCTATGACCCAGTTACTCCAAATCAATGCAGCATTGTATGACTATTGACTACACTCAACAGGTGGGACACCTTTTTTTAATGGATCAGAATTGTACCACTGCTTTTGACAAGTAGTACACATCTCTTTTTATCGGATTGATATGTTTTTTTCCTATTTTATATAGCAATCTTAATGAAAAGATCTGCAATTACTGTGTGAGCTTGCCCTCATCCTCTGAAGAGAACTTTTATTCAAAAGCCATCCACCAGTGAATCTACACTGATTCTTGTGTATACACTGACATTTTATGTATGTATTTGTCCTACTGGAATGTAAAGGCTGATCCAAGGAGTTGCCTGAACTTAATTTAAAGGAGATTTTATCCTGATTTGATCAACCTTAGGGGATGTACTCCATATTTGTATAACAAGCACTTGCCTTTATCCTAAAGAAATCGTAATTGGATTTCTGTCTCATGTTTGACCTGATGCAAGCACAAATAACCCAATTTTAGTATTGTTTGTCCAGAACAACACTGGCTGCAGGCAAAACTTGCCAGTGTTGCAGTACAACACACAATGCAAAACAAACAAAGAGTGGCAGTTATACATATTGACCTCTAGCCATCCATTTTCACAAAAAATGAACTTGTTTTCACAGTTGTCTGGTTTAAATACTGACAGAAAGAAGAGGAACACAGCTAAGATGGATTTCACTTGGTTGTCTGCATTTCAAACGTTTTTCTTTAATTTAAAACGTTGGTGCGCCCACTCTCAGTGCAGACTTTGCACAGTTGAAATGCCTGGCCAAAAGCAGAGTCCGTCCAGTTTATTAAGTTAATCTGATAAAACTCCTTCAGTTCAGTGAATAGTGGGTAATGATCTGGGCTAGTGGGCAGAGCAATTATGGAGCTGTGATGCTCAAAGAACACATTTGCTAGTGCAATTATAGAATTAAACAAGAGGAGGCCAAGTGTCAATGTGAAATGTTCTGGTGTTGAAAATGGAGTTTGTGTTTGTAAAAGAGTCATTTGAAATTCTGAAAAAAATGAAACACAATACTTTGTTGTGGATAAACCATAGACTGTATATACAAAGAGATAAACATTATTAAACCATTGAAGAAGGCAAACACGTTACTGTGAAATCCTGTCCAGTTCTCTTCACAGTAAGTCAAATACTGTTAGTGTTGTGCACTGCAAATGACAGCTGATGCCAGTTCCAATTTAAACTCTGGAGTTGTGGACAGTGTAATTACAGCTTTCAGGTGACTGGGTGCAGTGTGCTGGATTGCTAACAGGTGTGGTGCTTATGGTGATTGTATCAGGATATGCTCCTTTCAAGGCACTTGTCACAGACGATTACTTTAACAGAGAGTGAACTAGTAGAGGTGCACACTGCCACCCAGTGTAGTGAATGGGAACATATTTGGGCACACTGACATTTCATATACTTTCAATGGAAAACCATAATTGATAATTAAGTTCCATTATAGAATTAATGCCAGCAAGCACTTTACCAGGAACTTGTAGCCAGCACACCCAGATTGTGTAGTCATTATTTCCTCACCAGTGTATTTATAGCCTACTGCTTTTCTCACTGTGTCTTTTCCCTTTTATAGGGAAGGACTTATGCTATATTTTGTGAATGACAATACATGTTAAATGATTGAGCCCTAAACCCTTTGTTGTTGCTTTCGTCCATTATTATTAATACTGTTACTAAAAATACAAATATAAAATAAATCAATAATGAACAAGCAGTTTTTTCATCATTATTATCGCCTCCTGTGTGCGGGGGCGTGCGTGACAGCGGGCGGACAGCTTGTGCTTTGTCTGTAAAAGTAGAATGGTATATGTGCAATCCAATTACCATGAACTGTTCCTACTATAAAAAGTTAAAATGCCATATATATAAAAGGCATTTTGAGTAATTTCTGCTCTATGGTACTTGAGCTGAAACATGAAAGCACCAGACTGAATTTATAGTACTTTAATTTCTTACTCGCAGACATCTGTTGTTTGTGGGATAATACTGACTAGTGGACATTATATTGAATACATTGGCAGATAACCTTGTCCAAACAGATCATTCTTGCTCGTCATTTGACATGCAGAACGCAGGAGACATGGTTCCTTATCTTAATCTGGCATACAACTGTTGTCCCAAAGTCAACAAGGATATTGTGAAGTTTTTATTGTCATCATCATTTTCAAAAATCGTATCAGAAAACAAAGATAGTTCAACAATACATTTCTACTGTTTTTAAATACATTCTAATATATGTCTGAAGGGAAGCTGTTGCAGGTTGCATGGGTGACCAAGCCTTTTAAGCCCTGCTTTCTAAAAATGTCTCTCTAATGTTTGCAAATTGCACAGAGGTTAGGGGTTATAATATTGATTTAGACATTATACTTGAACTATTGCAAATAGTATTTCTTTCTGGGAATAACTGTCAGAAATCTACAGGATGAATTGTGTACATATTCAGGTTGTACACCGTGTGGTCAAACTGACAGAAAACAAACAATCATTGTTTGGACACACACACATTAGATTGTATTATAGCATTATGTCAGAGCTGTAAAGGCCTTATTTATTCCAGTAGGAAACCTTTGCATTTTTCTATTCCATAACATTTTCTAATCTTATCTCCCAACTCTGAACACAGAACAGTGTATAAAGGGATGTAGAGTACAGTATAGTTTAAGGCCCCTAGGCAGAACATCAGAGAAGCACTTTCTGTGTTCATACCTGGTACATTAAAAATGATGTATAGTTTAAATGTGCTCCCTCTTTGTTTTTTTGCTTTTCTCCGGTGTGGTTATATGGAAATTCTACTGATATCCTCTATTCCTGAAAAGCTCAACTCTCTGTATCTCTGTGTTACACAAAAACATATGTCAGTGTTTGAAGTGATGCTTTGTGATGCTATTTGCTCCATCACACTTCATTTTCTTCATATTTCTCTCTAATAGAGCCCTCCATTTAGATGAATCAAAACACCATTGGCGCCAGCCATTTGTTGTTTTGAAGACAGTGGTACATTAGCATTGCTCAAAATGCCCACATATTTATAATAAAACATTTAAAAATATTGAAATAACTTAAAAACAGTGAAAAAACGCAGTGGGGTTGTTGACAGGAATTACAGAAGAAATATACTAATACAAATATTTGACTAAGGTCTAAACAAATATAAATGAGTATCCCTGTAAAAACAGCACACCTAACAATGCAGCCACATTGATCCTACATTGTGTAGATGGAGAAATCGTCAAAGGTTTTTCCAGCTTTTGGTGGAATTTTGTGTTTTTTACCAGGTTAATTCAGCAGAATTACTAATCGGGCCTTTTTTGCCTTTTATGGCCAAGCTTCCTGAATAGCCTAAACTGAAAATGACATTAAAGGCAGCAACAAGCAGAGGCAGCAACCCTTACACATATCTTTGTTCAGTGACTGCTCATTGTGTCTGCCCTCAAAGACAATTGGTTGTCAGTGTACCTATGTATACTAAACAAAAAGCCTGAATAATTGATACAGCTGCTTTTTGTTCTGGATTTGTGAAATGACATGTTTTAACCAGTATGTGTTGTTTGATGTTGGCATTTAACATTCACAAAAAATAACATGCATATCGCCCTTAGTGTTAAAAAATAACAACAAAAAACATTGGATCGGGCACCTGGCAGCTAGTATAAAAACAGAAAACATGTTACCCTCTCAGTCTGTTCCATTTGAGCTGTTAAAAGCAGGTCCTGCACCCCACCTTTCTGCTCCCTCTTTAAGGGCCCTGATTGAAAAGGATCAATACTCCCAAAGAGAAGATACATCAACATTTGTACCATCACCCATAAGTGTACCTCCCTGGTCTCCACGGAGGTACTTGCCATCAGAGCTCTTAATGGCGACGCGTCCATGTTCCAGGAACTCAAGGAAAAAGTCCTCTGGTTTTTCTCCATCTGAGCACACTAGGCCACTCCTAGAAACGTACCAGAACCTTCCATTCACACCTGCAGAAGGGCATATGGGTGAATTATAGGTTCACTGTTTGTTTAAAGGTCCCCTATTATACTGTTTTTCATCAATATATTATAGTTTTCAGATATATACAAAACATGTCTCTGAAGTGTTTGGCTCGAAATACCAAACAGATCATGCATTGTAACATCCCATAAACTCCTCTGTTTCAGCCCTGTGTCAAAAGTGCTGATTCTGTGTCTGTTACTTTAGATGAAAATAAGGAGCCACTCCCCACGCCCCTCTGAGAGACATTTGGTTAAAAAAGAACACAATGGAGCTCTAAGAGGAGATTAAGGTGATACGGGGGGGGGGTGGGGGGGTGGGTGGGGGGGTGTGTCACCTTGGTTGGTGATCGGCGTGTCACCTTGGTTGGTGATTGGCTAATGGTTACACAAGCCAAAATATCGTTATGACATCATAAAGTGGCCAAAATCTGATCAGCTCATTTTCAGACAAGTTTTTATATAAATTGATCATGACAAAAAGAGAGAGAATCTCTTTTCCTGAAACTTTCAGAATCTCTTTACACAGAGGGGACACATGTGTATGTATAAAATACATGAAACTGTGGATTTTACCATAATAGGTGACCTTTTAAATTAATGAATATCTATCAAAACAGAATGGTTGTTATGTTGAAAGATAGTATGTCAAGAACATCATGAGAATACTTACTTTTTACATGGTAGGCGCCATCATTGAAAATCAATGAGAAAATGTCATAGACTGATCGATTTGCGTTCAGAGTGTTGGAGTTCTTGTGGTGACACACAAAGCCATTCTCTCCACGAAGGATCAACATAGGGCGGTTGATGAGTTTCATCAGGAATAATTCATCAGCACCTACAATGCAGGAAAAATACTGTTCACTTTGTGTGCATTTAATCTACAAGGCTTACCCTGCAGCAGTGAATCTCAAGTGGCTTGGCTGAAAGGACTTACCGACTGCATCGCTGACTGCTGAGAGCTGACCGTTCTTCTTTGTACATACATACTTCCCATTACTTGCTCTGAGTGCCACTCTCTGTCCTCGCCACTCTATGTCAAACATTGTGTTGACCTCCCTGGGAAAAAGGCATGAAGACATAAGGGCGAAGTCATTGAAAACATTAAAGGGAGCTCACCTTTTGAAAGCTGTAATAGCTACTTACACTTCTGTGGCAGTGGACTGTATCTCTCCGTGAGTCACGAGAGTCCAGTAAGATCCACCATTGGTCCGGAACATAGACTTTTTGCTCTCTTTATCAATCTCCATCTGGAAGGTCTCCATGTCTGTTTCTACGTCCTGATTGGCGGAAATACTCACTCCTGGTAATAAGGGAAGAAAAGACAGCCATAATTATACCTTTTGTTCAATAGAAATGATTGACTTTATGGTTGCCTCCTCTTGAATGTAATTTGCTCTCTCAGGAGACGTGTACTTAACATGGTATTATTTAAGCACTTCTCTTTTGTTGGCCTTATTATACAGGGTGCTACCTTCAATGACTCATTCAAGGCTTCTGCCTCCTTATATAGGATGCATGTATTGCTAGGTCACAAATCATTTTATTTGGCAGATTAATAATACATATTTAAGCTGTGATTACGTTTATATTTACATTAATGACTTGCCGTGTGTTTCCTTACTAAATTAGGTTGGTTGCTTGATTCAAGGTCTAGTTACATCATTCTTAAAATTAATCCACTCTAATGGATTACACCAACGGAAAGTTCTGTACAATACATGATGCTTTGGCAAGATTTGCGGGAGACGTGGATAATAGTAGCAATGTTTTGCCCTTTTTCCACCACCATAACAAACATATCATTGTGTGTTTTATACTAAAAAAATACATTTTGAAGACAGAATCACTTTAAACAACAACCTGCTCTGTCGCTATCTGTGAGCTGCGGATGTTTTTATGCATCACTCTGTTAACTATTAAGCACATCTCATTTAATCAACTCGTGATGTGTTTTTGACGTCCAAAATAAAGTAAAGAAAAGATCAATCTAACAGAGTAGCATTACATTTTTGCATAAAATTGTGCATATTTTTCCAGATAGTAAATGATTGCTCCATTCTGTTAAACATGCGGCCTGATTTACAGCCAGTGTAATTTTGTACACTTAATCCACATGTATTAACACTGTCTGGTGGCGTGTGTTAGGTGGTGGAGAATACACAGACGCTACTGAACTGTGTCTGCTGTAGTTCAAATTAGATGCCACAGAAATATCCTTCAACCTTTCTCTTAAGCCTGTAACAACCCTAATCCCCCACAGTAACCCCTCCACCCTTCCTCGTCCATTTGCTTGCTGTAATTCCCGGAGTGGTGAAACGCAAATCTGCACTGCAGGGCCCACTAAGCAGCTTTCAGTGCTCGGTTCCTTTAAAAACGTGTATGCCACAAGCTAAACACTACAATACAAAATGTAATTGTTTATTCTATATTATGAGACTAGAGTGCAAGGTTGTACAAATATTGCCCTGAAAGGCACCTTCTTTATGCAGCATTTTATTCATTCATAAGCATAATGATGACTGCAGTCTTATGTTTGCTTGAGAACCTTGTTCCTCCGATATGCGCTCATATTGAATGAACATTGTACAGCTAGTTAAATAAGGCTCTTCTTTGTAATTGAATTTTAAAGCTTTAACTACTTGCAACAGAAACACAATTTGTTCCGCTGTCCTCCCACATTGTTTGCTGGAATTGTTATACAGGACAGAGCAGAACACATTGTGCTCAACATATATATATATATATTGTAACTCTGTACTGGCTGTAGCTCTGTTTTTCTGCAGCCACTACCCACAGATTTAAATCATTTGCAGACCAACACTCGATGGATGATTGTAAATAGCGAGTAACCGCTTAAAGTCCAATGATAGTAATTGACACCCGTGGGGCACAGACCTGCCCTGAAGTAATTTGCATGCTGCTTAATCTTCAATGGACACGCAGTGGAAATGACAAAGCCCATTACCACAATTACATTCACAGTACGGCTGTCAACCTTTCTGGATGCAGCGTGTAGACAATAAAAGTAAAACTTTCCCTACATTAGCGGGTAAATCTTGCTAATTTTCCTGTAAGAAAGAAATAATACAAATCCAGGCGATCTTGGGTTATCAAGGTCACTAGAATGTACTCTACTGTGCTATTTGTTCAGGTGTTTTAAAAAGGCTAGGGCTAGGCTATGAGCTAACATATCAATACCTACATTTGCTAAATTTAACAATTTGCAAAGTCTGTTTCAGTTTTTCAGCAGCTTTGCAAAGAAATGCAGGTAAACTAAATACTGAAAGGAGACAGAATAGAAAACTAAACCAAAGTGAACCACTGATATGAAATCAACAGTACCGGAAAGGTGACTACTACATTTAAACATAATAAGAATAACACGTAGAAAAAACATTAATCTTATTGAAAGAAATATATTGGGAAATAGCTGTCAGTCTTTTAAAATGTGATAATTTCTTACTTCCCCAAGCTTGAATTTAGCATCTAGCTACGCCTAGCCTACATATTTGCCATATTGTTTTCACACCCATCTGTTACCATACCATCTGTTAGGCCTTTCACCTTGCCTTATTTTTGGAAAAATCTACTTTTTTCAAACAAGGAACTTGCAAACAATCATATCTTGTCTTTTAACTTCCTTTTAGTTTCCAGAATAAAAATCATTCTGCTGTTTCGGTAACAATCCAATACATTTTATGTAGGAAACTTTTCAATTTTAGATAATGTACTTTTTAACTCAAGACTTCATTAGGACTGATTACCTTGTTTGACAGAGACAAATCTTTTGTTGGCAGCTTGAAAAACTACTTGTGGATGACTCTCTTCGAGATCAAACAGCTCATCTTTTCCAGGCTTGGAGCAGCGGCCGGACCGCAGCGTCCCTGTGGGGCCCACTGGGGTCAGATATTTCCCATCACTGTCCTTAAAGGCCAGCTTTCCGGACTTCAGCTCCAGTGTAAAGCTTGTATTATTGGTGTTCTCTTTCACCAGTTTGCCATCATTGCTGAGGAAACGACTGTCACAGGTCTTCAGGCTGTACTTGCCATCGAGGTATACCAAGGTGACCAGGGAGTGAACTCCCCAGGGAATGTTACTGTCCACGGAGATCTCTCCATCTGAAGCAGACAGATGGGCATAGCGCTTACGTGCCACGCTGAGCAAGCTGGCCTGCGGGTGTAAAGCCAAATGGACGGCCCACAGCTCTTGTTCCCCAATGGCTTGAGCAAAGCAGGACAGGTAGTCAGCCGAGCCTCCAAAGTAACGCAGGTAAGGCTCTGATTGCAGAGCCCAGCGGCCATCAGATTGAGGCACAATAAGGAAGCGACTGTCAGGGTCAGGCTTCTCTGCCCCACATGTGATCTTCCCATCTTTGTCAGAAGCCAGATAGCGTCCCAGATGGCTGCGGAGGAAAACTACCTGGCCGTCTTTCTCATCCTGTTCTAGGGTCCAGATCTGTTTCTTCTTCATGCTGACGCCCGAGGCATTCACCTTAAAGCCAAAGGCCTCGGCTGTCAGGTAGCGGCTGTCATAGTTGATAAGGCCGAACTGCAGCTTCAGAGCCCTGTTAAATCCGTTTGTGGGCATGCTTGAACAGTAAATAAGTTTAGTAAAAACAAGGGAAAGGGTAATGAGGGAAAACAGGCATGAAACGGAAATAGACAATGCTTGATCTATTCCGTCTTATGTCTCTCAAGCTGTAAATTAGTTCCACTTATCTCCTCTGACGGATGGTTTAGTGTTCCTTCCTTCTCCCGTCACTTTCTCTCTTTCCCCAGAGAGCTTGCACAGGCACTTGCTCCCTGTTCCTTAATGAGTTAGGATTAAAATCAGCAGGACGCACCACCTCAATCCAACAAGCCGCTGACGTCACATACCAGTGCACCAACCGTGAACCTCCCCTCCTCCCTCTCCTTTCCCAGTACAAGCTCAGCACAGATTCGTTCTCGTTATCTCTTCCATATCTTCTACTTTCTATCACCTCTTTCTTTTTGTCATCCCCTGCCCTTGTCGTTCTTTCCTGTAACTCACACTAGTACACTTGTCTTTCTTGCTGACTGCCTATTGGTTGTTACTCTCATATTTAGGTCCATTTACTCGTAGCCAGGCCATCCAGCTTTAGGATTATCCTAGCTTTGATCTGCTGGCGAGCCACAGCCTAATTCGAAAATGTCCAGAGAGTTAAGGTGCTTTCGCTTACTCCCCGCTGCTTCTTTTTCCCTTTTTTGATTCTCTTTTCAAAGAATAAATGGTTCATGTTCATGAGTTTATGTAAATACGAGCCCATGTTGAATATAGTTCACTTCCCATGAATGAACCTTCTGCTTTTTAAAGACTTGATGTAAAGATTCAAATTAAATTCACAAAGAGCCTTGTTCACATTTCATAAGTCAGCGATAATGTACGTGGCTGACTGAGTTAAAAGAACAGTCTTAATTTCCACATGTAGAGGAGCTATAAAGCAATACTGTTTGCTTCAAGTCTTCAGAAGCATTTACATTTAGGATGTGAGTTTAAGAGGGATTTGAATTGCATACATTTGAATGTGCAAGTTTGCACATTTGCCTTTGCTCCATTGTCATCTTAGTAGATTCTCAGATCAAGTGACAATCCTTCCAGACCCACCTCTGGTATTCTGTCAGTCAACTGATAATACATGACGTGACTCCATGACCTTTGTCACAGAGAACACGAAGGGCAACCTTTTGTAAGAGCATTACCACCGTCTTTCATAAGGTTCCTGGGGACGTTGAGGGTAATACCGAGGAGAACTAATTGTAAGACGTTTTTAATTCAAAACACACCACAACGTAAATTCCTTGGTGTGTGATTTCTAATTGATAATCATTAAAGGGACGTTTTTAATGAAGGGGATCTATTAACGTTGACAGTTAAGAGTGATCCTCGGCCAGCAGAGGGGGTTCACGTTCTAATGTTAATCTAAAGACAAAGGTTGTAAAAGCCCAAAGCTTTGATTTGTGTAGTAGCTTGAGGACAATTATTGTTATTGAGGTCACACAGGGTAAAGGGCATTGGGTCGATTTTTGTTGAATGCCAGTTTTTTCTCATAATGCTTCATCAGAAGTGCTTGTCATCTGGTTTGAAAAGCTTCAGAAACCTCCTTCCATCACACTTACCTGAGGTTGTAATTGTTGGGGCTTTTCTTTCTAAATACGCATAGTCTGACATTCAGTTCAATCATTTTCAGTATCTTTCCTCAATGGCATTTAAAGTGTCACCTTCGTTTGTACATACTAAAAGTGTATGCAAGTTAGTTAGAAGAATAACAAAGGGAGCATTAGAGGATTTTAAATGGAGATCCGGACTCAATTTCACGACCAAACATATATTACAAACAACATACATTTTTTTAGGCTTCAGGCGAGTCTACTATTGGTTGCATTAGCTTTTATTCCTTGAAGCTAGCTGTTTTTAAATGGTAACATTTAATTCTTCAAACTTGACCAAAGCAATGGTTATCCTGCTCTTACTTGCCTTCAACTGTGAGGAAAAATCTTTCACGTTAACAGATCACGTCTTTCACAATTAGTCTAAATATTCTGTTTGTGTTTTCAGCCTGTGCTCACTAGGTGGCAGCATTGCCATGTACTAGTACACAATTGGTTATACTGGGACAGATGGCCAGTAAACATTATTAGATGAGAATGATAATATAATAAGATTGTCATATTTCTTTTTTTAAATGGTATCGCAGTTTCAGAAATACAATTAGGTATGTAATCCTAAAACCATTTCTCTATAAACAAAACTTGGTTTTCATATTGAGATAGTGAACATTAAGGTATTGGTAATTGTGTCAAATAGTGTTGTGTATCTTTGTAATGTATGCCATGGCAGTACATATAAAGTAGATCATTTACAAATACTCTCTGAGCTACTTGGTGTACCAGAGGAAATGTGGAATTTTTCAATCAATATAGCAGTTCTGTGTGCATACACATAGCAGTGATTCAGTGGTTGGTAAGATTCTTGACCAGTAGATGGCAGTGTTGACTATGAGTTGTAGTTTGTTTTCTCTCACAAATTGGAATTCCTTTGATCAATGGATTCACTGGACTAGATGTCACTTCTCATTTTCTCAAACTTCCTCATGAAAATAAGTTGTTTGGCTGGTTAAACACAAAGCAAAAGCGGAATCAAAATGTGTTCAGTATTAATTAATGTACTTATGTTTCATTCTGAAGTAACTTGAGCAATTGTGTTTATTGATAAATAATGGACTATATAAAATGTAAAATACATAAATCCCTAAAATAACATTTACAAATGTTAAACGATTCAATCTTATTTATTTTTGCCATAAAATAACTCTTAAATGGTAGAAAAAACCATGGAAAATAGGGAAATGACCAGGCAACAATGAGTTGTGACACTGTAAAACCTATTATAGTTTAGTCTTTAGGCACAGTTTTGCACCAAAATGGAATAATACAGAAAGTGTAACTTGAATTATAGGGAAAATACAAAGTCATTAGTATGCTGCTGCTGTGAAGTGATGAACTGCTTGACATCTTTAAATCAGCTGAACACCATTTATTGCAAATACAAACTGAAAAAATAACTTTTGTGAGGAAGAGGACGTACTGTTGCTAATATACCAGGTCTCTTATGACAGAAATAAACCTCAACAAAAGAGGACTGTCTCTCTCCTGTCCTTGAGATGCCCTAACTCTCCCTCTCACTCCAGGAACATAATGAGCAACAACTGCACGTCATTTAAACTGTAGTGGTCCAGTGGTCATGCCAAATTGCATATTGTGACCTAAATGTATTTACTTTTCTCTCCTGCCTGAGAGAATAACGAAACCTACACTGTTAGCTCTAAAAGAGAATGCTTGAAGGAGGGGGGGGGGTCGGGGAAGTGTGAAAGGGGTTTGTTGGTCACAGAGACACGCATGTGCACACACATACCCAGACTGTATACATGCACCCACGCACAGATCAAATAGTGAATGGAGGTCTCCCCCTCGGGCATGAACATGGATTAATGTGCCCAGTGCGATTATTTCATTTATAACTGTCTTGGACCTTTTCAGATAAGACAATTTTTCAGGTTGCCATCCACTAGCACCTTTACACTGCATCTATTAGCCTGCCAAGCACTCAGAGCTCCATTTAAAGGGCCAGCACCCTCCCTGTTTAGCTTGCATTGTAAAGCATTTTCATAGAGGAGTCAAGCTTTTCAGGTGCAAATTGAGCCCAACTTACTCCTAAAAGACATTCAAATGATTTAAGCAATCAAAAAAAATGGCACCCCAGAAAATGATGTGGATTTGAAGACAGTTCATCTCTTCACCATGAATTATCTTAAAAACGGTGCATTTACCAATTCAGATGAGCTTAGTTCCTGAAAGACTCAAAACTATAACATTTTCTCACGATTGTACATGATTGTAAACCAGCATAACCTATTGGGTTTTGTCCTTGAAATGGCTTCATAAAATCATTACTGTATAACTCGCACCCCCACTACTCATGTGCTATGCAGTACAGCACAGGTCCAAACATGTCCTTTCTTTGCTCCATTGTGCCCCTTTGGAACCTGCTGCCCCCCGTAAAACCAGCAGAGTAAAACGGTCCATGAGACGTGCAGTATAGTAAAATGTAAAATGGCTGCCTTGGCTGGGATTCTCCTTCCTCAGCAGCTTGGTGCTCACTGACCCCATTAATCCAGGTGTTCATTCATCTACAGGACCGTCCTTCCATCGGCCGTAAACTGCTCACCCCACTGTGTTTGCCCGGCCCAGCCTCTCACTCCTGCTCTACCAGTGTAATGGGGGCTGCCAATGAGCTAAGTATGGGCAGCCATATAAATGAGCCTTGGTAAATGTCAAGCCTTTTAATTCTCCATTGTAATGCCACATTTGTTTTGTAGGCTGTCATTTGTTTTTAGAGTGAGCCAAACTTGTTAAACCATCCCTCCCCCTGTCCCTATTCTCCGAGGAGTGAAAACGAGAACTGGTCATGCAGAGAAAGAAGGTGGTATAACTTAATTGGAGGTTACATCGCTGTCAGTGCAATACATTATTGACAAAGATAACTCAACTCTCAGTAAAGCGATGTGTAAATAGGTAAGCAATAAAAGCAGTTCTCTTATTGATTACACTGTAGGCTGACTGCATACAGCTGTGCACTGACTGGGCTCTTGTTCCGATGCAGACGGGGTGAGCTTTAAGGGACAGGATGCTCATGTTAATGTCATCCTTTGCTCTGAACAGCAGAGCTAATATGAGGCCTCCTCTTATGCCATTCTCACAATTACCTCCGTCTCTTTTGTATTAAGAGAATGATCGTGTGAATTACAATTAAAGGTATGCATCTGTTGTGTGTGAGCTTATATCTGAGGGGATGTGAGCCTGCATGCGTGGCTAACACTCGCCATCCTTGTGTGTGTTCTTTGTTTGTTGCCTGTGCGTGGGTGTGCATGCATACATGATCATTTATGTGCAAACACATGTGTCCCAGTGTCTCCACATGTTGGTCTGTTCACTCAGAGGTTTATATACAAGCTCTGCCTGCAATAGCCAGACATACGTCGCAGTGCATTTCGGCTCCCTTACTTTTTA